AAATCCTGGAAAGCTCTGGAAGGGAAGAAGCTTCCCCCACAGCAGTGCTGGAGAGAGGGGAGTGGCCTAGGGGAACAGTTGTTGCCTGCTGAGTCTCTGGCCCAGCAGGTGGCTTTTGCTGTACTGAGCCTTCCTGTCTGGCTGCGGGTTCTCAGCCAGCCATGAATTGGCCAACAGAGGTGTCTGCCCTGTCTTCATAGGCCAGACAGCTTTCCTAGAACACAGCCTAGGTGGGGACCTTTGACCTCTGTGTGGAGCTATCAATTCCTGTTCCCTCCAGCAAACGCCAGGCCCTTGGGAGGCCTAGAGTTCCTTGCAGGCCCTCTTGCCCCTGGTCCAGAGCTGGAGTGGGGTGGGAAAGGAGGTGGGTTTTGAGTGAACTGGTTCTAGGGAGAGAACGGCAAGTTTCCCTATGGAGGCTCCAAGCTCAGAGTATGGCCAGGGGCTCCCCATGTTGCCTTGAATGGCCTGGGAATTTCCTGGACACTGGACCTTGTAGGAAGTGGAGGCCTTTGTGAAGGGGGGCCACTCCCTCACTTCCATGAACTGCAAGACAAGCCTTGAACTGCAGCTAAGGATATGTGTAGGCAGCAGGCTGGATTCTGCACCTGTGCCCAAGAGTGACATGGCTCCAAGGCATACTGGCTGCCCTGGGCCTGCCCCTTAGACACTCTTCTCTACCCTTGGCCTTCCACCCATCCCCTATACCAGGAGCAGCACAAATCTGACTCCCATAGGCCTGGGCCTCAGAGTTCTCATCCCCAGCCACAACTGGGCTCTGCCAAGGGACTGAACACAGGTGCCCTGCTAGCTGGAGATGTAGACTAGAACTCAGGTAAGGGATGGTGGGCTTTGTGGCTTACCCCACCCTGGTGGCTGAGAAATATGCTTAGCATGGAAGTCCTTTCTGTGAACTGGGAAATTACCTCACCTAGCTATAAGGTGCTAAGTTCTGGGCTGCTATAGCAGAGTGCTTGGCTTCCTGTCCAAGTTTTAGGCAGCCCCCCAAATCCCTCCCCCCCCATTAGACTTTCTCAAAGTGTCTCCTTAGTGATGAGATTTTTCTCTGCTCTATCCCATGGCTGGTTCCTCCCCAAGGAGCTCATCTGGGGTTGCTCTTCTAGCACTGATTTTATCTGCGCCAATTATGCTGAGGTGGGGACATTCACTCATCTCAGCTGGTGCCAGTGAACTGGAGAAGTTCAGGGAGAGAGGGTAGGTTTGTGGTGTGGAGTCCCTTCTATACAGCAGGGCCTGAAGCACAGGCCAGTGTCTGCCTCGTGGGCCCTCCAGTATGCCCCAGAGCTGCCCCACTCTGGCTCACAGCTGAGACCTTCTTCCATCCCACCAACAGCAACTTGTAATTTAAGGGCTCCCAGGGTGCTCCCCATGTTTGTGGTCACCTTTCTATGAATCATCTCCTTTCTGAATGGAGGAGACCACAGATAAAACCCATGTTCCAAGCCTTGTACAGGACAATGTCAGAATATTAGCCTAAAAATGGGAGCTTAGCACTTGGGTTAATAGGTGGGGGCAGGTTTCATTGTGTGGCCATTTGCAGTGCTCTGACAAGTACAGCTGACTGTATAGAAACCTATGGATTGTAGTGTGGGTGGCGAAGAATTCTAAGATCAAGGTGCCAGCAGAGCCAGTATCTGGCAAGGGCTGTTCCCTGCTTCCAGAATACCACCTTGTTGCTGTGGCATCACATGATGAGAAAGGCAAGGGCTCTCTTAAGCCTCTGAGAGGGGGACTGATCTGCTCAAGAGGGTGGAGCTGCTATTTTTTTTTTGAAACTTCGGTCCACACCCTCCCACTCCTAATACTGACATCTGGGAGGGCCACCAATATGAAGATCAGAGCAGGGTGTTAAGAGCCCTGTGTGGCCCGAAGGCTGGCAGAGCTGCTGATGAACTGTGTGTAGTCACCTGGACATGTGTTATCAGATACACACATCTAGGTATAGTCTGGAGACCTTGGTCATTCCTGATCAGAGGCAGCTGCCAGCAGCCGGTCAGAGGTGACAGCAGCCCTGGTGTGTGCCACGCGGCTGCCAGAGCTCACGCTCCCTGAGCGCACAGAGCAGGTCTGTTTGAGGTCACTGTTGCAATGTGTATTTTGAATCTTTTCAGTGGTATGTGCGCTGCGGGGACTTGGCCCATGCGCTGCATGTGCAGCTCATACTTGGTGGGCTTTGTAATGTGCAGAGGCGTTGCCAAGGGCAGCGGAAACGTGGATTTTTTCCAGCATAAATACATGAATCCTACTGCCACCCTCCCCTGCCCCTGGGCCTATGCTGTCTCAGCCTGCAGCTAGGAAGGTCCTTGCCCCAGAAGAAGCTAGATCTGCTGGCTCACAAATGCCATTTCTTCAACCTCTTAATTCTTGAACATAGCAGTGTGCAGTGGGGATCTTCAGGCTCAGATGAAACAGGTCCTCATGAGGTCTGTGTTAGTTGTTTCTAGGGAGCCGAGGCAGAGGCAGTCTGCCTTTCCAGAATAATTTACTCGGTGAGAAAGGTCTGAGGTAAGGGTAGGTCTTGAGGTAAGGGGTGGGCCAGCGATGTTCATCTTGGGGAATGTGGGGACCCATTCTAAGCTAGACAGTTCATCAGCCTGAGGCCCCAGACCCTCTGTGTGCCGTAATCTCTTAAGGGACCAGTTACACTTGAATGGGGTCGCCCTCATGACCTCATCATGATTGCCCCAGAAAGGGGGCAATCTAGATCCAATCATTCTCTAGATCCAATCATTCTCAGAAATACAGGGGTATGAGGCCGCCAGCCGAGGGACTTGGGGTACCAGTGCTCTGAGTCTGAGATTAGCTGCATCTCCAAGGACCCAGCCAGAGGGACCTCCACACATCCAGCCCATGTCTGACAGGACAACACTGGCTGGCTGAGGACTGCCACACAGGGAAACTGCTGTGTCCCCAGAGAGGCTCATTCTGTATTCAGCTCAGTCCCCGGGAAAGGAAACCAGGGCCCTGGCGGTAACTCTCTCGATCCCTTAGCTGAGGGGGCACTCAGTTGCCACGGTGACCTCTGTCTGCAGAGTCACTTCTCTAGGTTGGAGGGCTTCCCTACCCCCACCCTCAGAGTTCACACTGAGTGTTGAGTCCCTTGGTGACAAAAACATGGAAACGGTTGCCATGGCAGCCATTCTTTGGAGCCCTCAGACTGAAGTGCAAAGTTCAGGATGCCCAGGAAAAGCCGAAATGAAAATATGGGAAAATCCACTCCTTCCCTCACCCAGGAGGGTGAGTTGGAGCATCCGGTGCTCGTCTGCTCCCCTGCCCTAGTACCTTGGTCAGCCAGTGTGGCCACAGGAAGGGACCTAGGTGAGGGTGATGAGCTGGGCTTCTCTGGGGCCATGAAGCCGCTGCTGCTCTTTCTCGGGAGGGCTCAATACATTTAGTGGTAGGGTAATCTTCATTGTAGTTCAGGGAGTAATGCTTCTCTGCCCTGTGAGATGATGTGTACAGGGTGTGACATAGGGGGTGAGCACAGGAAAGAGACCCTGACTGTGGGGATGGAAAAGATAGTTGCTTCCCTTGAATGAGGCTGAGCATAGCTGAGGCTTTCTCTAGGAGTCTCCTGGACTGCAGAGGGAGAATGGCTATGTGTCCCTCTTTATCCAGCAATTTCCAAGTAGGCTCTAAGATGGGCCACCCAAAGGGTTCTGCAGACAGCAATGTTTGGGAAGCCAACACGCAGACATGACCATCACTTACAGGCTCCCCAAAGCCCCTGTACCAAGGAAACTCTTGAATGGAACCTGGTGCTGCATCAACTTATTTGAATGAAGGTCCTCCATCTTTCTTGTGGGTGTACCAGTATACGTGCATATGTGTAGGCCAGATGTTAGGTTTGGGTGTCTTCCTTTGTTGTTCTCTACCTTTTGGAACAGTCTTTCACGCAACCTGGAACAGGCCAGGCCCCAAGGACCCACCTGCCTTCACACACCCCCACCCCAGCACTGGAATTAATAGGCATACTTGGTGCTTTGCCCATGAGTTCTGAACTCATGTCCCTGGTGCTTGTCTGGCAAATACTTCACTGACTAAGCCACCTCCCAGCCTTCTCCTTATCAACATTCCCTTCTCCTTTAAAATGCCTCATACTGTCCTTCTGTAGCAGCATTTCCTCACATACTAGGCATTTATCCTCAGTCTTAGGGACCAACAGCATGGGCAATCCTGGGGAGTGTATGTGAAATGGAGGTCTCTGGGCTTCACCCAGTTATGTTAAATCAGAAGCCCAGGGGTAGAGCCAGCAGTATTTTCAGAAGCTCTCCAGGGGAGTCTGGAACACTCTGGTTTGAGAACCCCTGTGCAGGGGAGATCCTGGCAGATTTGTGGGGGTGGGGGGTAGTGCTGAACCTGAGAGGCTCCAAGGAAGATGAGCAGCCTGGTGGGGAGGGTTTGAGGATTGTAGCTGACTCGTGACCCTGGAAAAGCACTCCGGCCACCTAGCAGGTTCTTTTGCTACTGGTCACTGAGATCCCATCATGGGCTTTCAGTGGTGTTGAAGTAAGGGGGGGGGGGGTTGTGAGTGCATCCTAAAGCTTGGGGTGAAGTGATAGGAGCACTTTCCAGACTCTGAGGGGTCAGCACTGCTGTCATTGAGGCCACCTGTCCTCAGGGGCAGGATCTTACCCAGAGGTTTGCTTAATTCATCTAGCCCCGCTCCCCAAGTCTCCTTTGTGGACCTTAACATCTCACAAGATGGTACTTGTCCCAAGAGGCAGTATTAGGTGGCACCTTCAACAAAGGTAGGAGCAACACTTCTTGGAGTAGTGGCAGGTGGAGTTCTGGGATCTGCTTGGCTACACCTTGCCCATTGCCAACTGGGGAGCCCTCTGCAGTCACTTTCCAGAGCACACTCTATTCTCCAGGTTCTTAGAAGGCATGGTGCAGATAGGGTCCATCCCATCCCAGGACCTGGGCACCTGGCTGCTCTTCCCAGCCATGGCCCAACACCCCTGCTTGCTTCCTTGTAGCGGTCCAGATCCACATCCTGAAAGCGGACAAAGCAGGAGACTGGTGGAAGTTCACGGTGAACATCATCTCCGTGTACAAGCAGGGAACGAGTCGTATTCGCCGCGGTGACCAGAGCTTGTGGATCCGCTCTCGCGACATCGCCTGCAAGTGCCCCAAAATCAAGCCCCTCAAGAAATACCTGCTGCTGTTCACTGCTGAGCACTCTCCTGACCAGAGTGGCATC